CATAGCTCAGTTGGTAGAGCATCGCACCGGTATCGCGGAGGTCACGGGTTCGAATCCCGTTGAAGCCCTGATTTTTTTCAGGCTTCTTTCCAATTGCTTGAATTGGAAAATTAACTGCGATGATCATTCTTCACTTTCATCTACAACGGCAGTTCATATATGAATTATTTCATATAAACTGCACATCTTGAGCAATTGTGTTCAGGACTAGTCTTTTGTGACCTTCAGGGAGAAAATGAAGATCTTTTTCTGCTAGATACTGCACAGACAATGGGTGAACCCTTTCTTCCTTAATTTCCCTGTATATTGTAAAGGATCACAGTCAATATCGAACAGAAATTCCTCTGTTGATTTCTTATAATTCATTCTGATTTTCAAAACTGCAAAAGACAAAATGCCTGTACATGTTGCCAACTTTGCTTCCCTTCAAGATCTTGCAGAATGGCACCAAAACATTCCCAAGTGGGCAGGTAAACTTTGAAGTTTGATTGTCAAAACTTTGAATTTTGATTGGCTGGCAGAACATGTTTTTGTCATGCGTGTGGACAGGTAGTTGCGAGCAACGGTATTTCCTCTACTGTTCATTTTATCTATAATGATTTGTTGGCAGATGAAAGCTTATCTTGCACATGTTTTCATTTTTACATCAGACAACATTTACATCCAAGTTGACACAGGATACAAAGATCTTAAAGACGCATTTGTGATTGGACAAAGCTGGTAAGTCAAAGGAAGGCCAAATTCCCTACAATAATGATGTCAACATGATTGCTTGCTGTACATTTGTCTTGATGATAACATGAAATTGTTGTCAAATGTTGTGCTTTTCAATGCAAATTAACAAGCATACAGTGGAACCCCGCCTTACGACCACCCTGTTGATACGGCCACCTCATTATTACAGCCACCTCGTTATTACAACCACTTTATTCTGGCCTGAACTAAAGGTCAGCAAACACGAGGGGAACAGTCCCTGCGACTGGTCCCTGCAAAATGTCGCGAGGACAAGTCCCATCGTGTGAACTAGCCATTTTTCCCACAAAATCTAGTCGCAGGGACTAAAATTTGGTCCCTGCAACTAGTCCCAAAGAGAGTGTCTGCTTATGGGAATGTGTGAATACAGATGTAGAGTTTGACTGGGAGCTAACAAGGGGAATTGAAAACATTGTCTGTTTTATGGAGCTGTCCGCTTACGAGAGTATCCGTTAGCGGAGAGTTGACTGTAGTTCATTAGCACTTCACAATTTAAATGAGTAAATAAAAGCATTTAACAAATTAAAACAATAAAAGTGGACTTGAATTACCAGAGTTCGACAGTGTAACTTTGCTAGCTTTGTTATGAAAAATATCTTTTTTTTGAGGTTTTTTTGTGGTTCTTTATAGGATGAACCTGGTAGAGGTGCTCCTAAACGTCATCACTTTAATGATGGTGAGTTAGTCAGAACAACATTTTAAATTCAGGTGTACTAGACTTTATACTTTCAAATGTTAAGTTTCATTGTTCAGCTACATTTTTTTTTTTCATTAAATTTTTTTTTTTATTTGCAATAACACAAGGGAAAACAATGCTTACTTATGTAACAATGCTTACTTATTTCTATTTACATTATATTGCTCTCATTATTTACACTATTTAAATTACAACATCTAAACGACTTACACTACTAACAAATACAGTTACACAACTTACACTACTAACAAATACAGTAACGACAAGGGACAAAGAAAAAAAAGAAGACAAATAGATAGTTATCATTACAGCTGGAGGTTGTACTATAGAAACGTAAAAAACAGACCAAAGGCATGTGGTACATTATAGGTAAAATGAGTTGTTCAGCTATGTGCCGAGCAAATTAAATAATATTTTTCAAACATCTCGCTGAAAAGCCTGCGAACTCAGATGTATTTCTGGCTGTTATGTTTCTTTGCCGAAAATTTTGGTGGAGACCAGCAGCAGCCAGAAATAAGTCTGCATTCAAAGACTATTTGCTGAATTGATGGAGGATTCCTTCTTATGAGACAAAATTAATAATTAAACAGAGTTGACTTAGTTTTTGTAAATGTATGTAGTATCCCACTCTGTAGCTCAAATAATGAAAAGAAAAATGTACCTAGTATGGCTAAAACACAAGCAGGGTGGCAAAGTTTACAGGGTCTACATTATGGGCTAAAAAATCTGCGATAGACTTGTTTCATTTGACTTTTCTGACTTTAATCATAAAAGGTGTCCAGGAATCTGGATGGATCTGCTTTTCATGGATCTGCTTTATAATTTACTTTACCTTCTCACATTATTTCATTGACTCAACTATTACGTTGCTATCTAAACACGTTGATTAAACCACATTGAGGGGTCGAGTTGAAGTTCAGAAGTTACACCTTAAGACGTTGGCCGTCTACTCTCTCACATTATTTCCTCAACTCGACTATCTTGTTACCATCTAATCATCTAAACGCATTGATCAAACAACGCGTTGAGGGGTCAAGTCAAAGTTCAGAAACTACACCTAAAGATGTTGATCAAAAACTGCGACACATTTGTATTCTTTGTATTTAATGTTTTGGTTATATGCATGTAAGGAAAAAAGTCTACAGCACTTCAAAGTTGAGACTTAAATGGTCGCTAAAATCCTGTAGTGTCCATACCACCATTTAGATTTAAAGGAACCACTTGACTCAATGTAAAATACCTCTACGCGTGTTTTTGTTGTTGTTGTTGTTGTTGTTGTTTTTGTGGTTGGGTAATATGCAAATATGGTATTTATAGGGATTTTTAGTTTTTATTTGGTGCAAAAAATGGCCACAGTACCAAAATGTAGTATCTGTACGGGTGTACCTCCTTGTAGTGTCCATACCCCCTTTACCTTTAAGTGCAATTTATGACACAAACTGGCATTTTTTATCTTAAAAAAGTTTTAAAATATCTTATTGCGACATTGTCATTAAGATTCTACAATTTCAGTCACTGGATACCTTACTGGTATCTTAATAACTAGAGATACCAATCAGCCTCCATTTTTTGCCTGGTTACCAAGCTTGGTCTTGCCCTGTTTTGCAAGGCAAAACTTTTTTTAATGCAAGTTTGTGCACAAGGAATGGAGTCAGTAGGGCAAAGACATAAAGTTGGTTGAAAAAATATTATGGTTTGCTCATTCATTTTCTAGATTTTTAGTGTCCATGCCCCCAGAAATTGACTGGGCGTATCTCTGAAACCAGATGCCAATGCCCCAAGATACGTAAGAGAATTAATAAATGAAGAGATGACGTTGTACTTGCAAGCCATGCGTGAAAAACAGATATTTTAAGGTTGATTGTTTTGACCCAAGTGACCCCTACTTTGCCACCCTGATTGTGTTTTAGCAACATTGAAATAGTTTTTATTTTACCATGTAGAAGAGCTCTCTTTTTTATGAACTTGACCTTTTCACTTTTACACATGTGCTGTACATAATTTAAAATATGTAAGAAAAATTGTTTGACAAGAAAGATGAGAAGTATTGTCAATTGACATTTGGACACATCAAGCATCATTTTCAAGACTGAGGTCATTAATGCTAATATCAAAGATATTATTTAAGAGTAGAGTCGAACCTCCAGTTGCCATCACCTCTCATAAATGACCACCTCTCCTCAGCGAGCAGTTTTCCAAAACACCAAAAGTTTCCAAATCAAAATGATCACTATATTTAGAACCTCTTGTAAGCGACCACCTCTTGTAAGCGATGGCAACCACTTTCAGAGCTAAAAGTGTGAAATTTTCTTTTGTTTTTAACCTCCCGTAAGCGACCACTTGGCAGGTACTAGAATGGAAATTGGACAATAAGGTGTTGTAATATTACTGCATTCCTGGATAGTACAATGGACAGAAATTTCTCAATGGGAAGTACCATATTTGTTCTCGAAATTTACTTTTCATATGAATATTATATATATTATATATATATATATATATATATATATATATATATATATATATATATATATATATATATAT